AGTAACGATTGTACCGTTACAAGCATTACCACCCGGAGTGGTCTTCCAACAGTACGCTCAATTGCAATTTCAATTTGTATCGTACGATTGTCGTTCACCTCGTCTATTTCAACAAATATTGTTCTTCTGTTTTCTCTTAATTTCAGTTGGTATTAATTAGATGTTATCATTTCAATTCAGAACATTCCAGGAAGCTAAAAGTTGTCAAAATAAAATTCAAGTTCTGTTCCCGAGACCCTTCCGTGTTCCTGAAACTGGACAAAGAGCGGTCTTATCGTCTTTCTAATACCCTTCCTGGTTCTCGGGAAATCTTCAGTTGCGATTGTACAGTTACAATTGTTACAATCCGGAGTGGTCTTCCAACAGTACGCTCAATTGCAATTTCAATTTGTTTCATACGATTGTTGCTCACCTCGTCTATTTCAACGAATATTGTTCTTCTGTTTTCGTTTATTTTCAGTTGTCGCGAAATTTCGAGGTCGTGACGTGTCCTTTTTTTAAACGAATATTCAAAATTTTTTACGTCACGCCTAACTGACCATTCCTGACTTGTTAAATCGTTCGATTAATACTGATTATCTGCTAAAACTGCCAATTTTCCCAGTTTACGGTCAAATTAAAATTTCGAAGTCGCCATGCAGTTTGGCACCATTCTGGTCGAATGTCACATTTGTCCTGAATTTAATCAAAAAACATTAAAATTCGTTTTCAGATAATGAGGAGTTAGGAATGAGGGAAAGGGTTGATTCATCTCCGATGGATATGATGATTTTTTTTCTACTGAACAAAAACAATAGTAATTTGATATTAAGTACTGGACCTTTTTTTAGGAGTGACCTCGTGGTCTGGGGATACTGAGACCCAGCCATGAGCTCACTATTTTGCATGTAACTAAGTTAATCTGCGCGTTCTGGCCGATAGCCCAAAACAGTAATGATTTTGTCGACCCGATGTTAAAGGACCCCACAAAGAACTGGCTTTGGTAGAGACGGTTAAAAGCATATGAAGTTGTGTCTAGACGCTGGCCAGTCGTTTCATAACCCAGCTTTATTTTCCGTCGATATGTACTTCCGGGCGAATGTTAGTTTTTTTCGCTTTTTTCGAATATTTCTTTTGATTTGTTCCTGACTTACCGGCTTACGTGTTTTGAATCGCAAGTGTTGCGAAGCTGAGCTTTGCCTCGTGTAGAATGTCTTCCACTGGATGAACGTTTGAAGGACTACTGTAGTAATTTCGGTTACCATGATAATATTTGACCTTGTGATTTACATTTATGAAGAAACATCAAAATCAAGCGGTGCATAACCACGGAGCCGCATTCCCGGATACCCGAAAAAACTAAATACCTGCGGCTTTTTTAAACTTAAATCAGAAAATTTTGAGACGCATTCTGATTGGACAAAATGCGCAGCCTGATATAGCTAACAATTCCGAACATTTTTAAGAGATTTGATTGGTTTTTTTCTTTGTCTAAAAAAGGGGGTTCAGAAGGTCAAAAGTATCATAGTAACCGAGGTTACAGTCATGAGTCCCTTCATCATGTATTCCAGTCAAAATCCTTCGAATTTTTTAGATATTGAAGTGATAATGATAAAAGAAGATGACAAGTGTTTAAGTCCTTTTCAATTAAAATCGATACGGGTTATGTTTCTTCAATAAGAACACACAACTCGACACGAGATAATATAGTATACAAGTGTTACAAGTAAAAAATTTTGTCGAAAGTTATTTTGTTATTTATTGTTCCGAGTACGCAAGCGGCGTTCGCGATTTGTATTGCCAGGGTGATTCTCTGTTTTAAAAAGCTGCCTGCTCTGGGTTCCTCAGTGCATATGCTTAGGTTCTTACAAAGCTTGCTCAAAAAAACTTCTGTGCTGGGGCCGGCCGCGCCCTGAATTTCAAAAGCTAGCGGTTGAAAAAGATATCCATCATTTACAAGATCTTTATACTTGTCAATTTTTGGCTCTTCCGCTTCAGCTGCAGCCGTACCAGGGTTACAAACAGACCCGGCATTAATCCTACAAGGAGCTAAGGAGTCTACTACCGTTACATCCCACAAGAGCTGCTTACCATCAGCCCATGGAACGAGCGTCAAACCGTCTGGTCGCTTCTGATTGGTCCTGTAGAGGTGTCGTGATTGTAAAACAGACGGAATGTGAGTAGATGATAGACTCTGCTTTATAAGGGAATTCAGGTTTGAATGCCTAGAGAATCTCCCTGCACTTTTGAGGCAAGAAAGACCATGCCAACCATCCTCGGTAACGTCTTTTCCGCACACGCATTTATGCCGTTCGCATATTTTTGATCCTAATCGAAGTCCTATCGCAATTCTGAGTTGTTGGTTTGACAGCTTTAACCTTAAATTTTTGCACGGGATGACGTTCAACCATTGGGAGCCAAATCTATCTTGGAACGCGTTGAACCTTTTTACGTCCGTTGGTTCGAGTCGTAAAATCAAGTCTGCAATTTCGCTGTCAAAAATTGGCTCCGTCCAATTTTTTTGGATTTCATTTTCCGGAGCCATTTCAATTTTTCCAAGGTCAAACCAACGTTTAAGCGCATCATCATAGGTTCCATCCACATGCTCCAAACCAAAGATTTCGCTCAAGGCATCTTTCGCTCCTACTGCTGAGGCTAAAAAAGCGGGTAAAGCGAGTAGACGAGCGGAAGAAACGCCCAAGCCACCTTTGGCTGCCGGGAGAACTGCTTGTAAAAATTGGTTATCATCCATTTTCACGTTAGTGACCTTGCATAACGAATTTCTTAGTAATTTATTGTAACGTTCCAAAAAATCTTTTTGCAAAAAACAAGGGCTCGTACGCAAAAAATATAGGAGTTTTGGCATGCTAAAGCATTTTTTCAGGAGGTAAAAACCATAATGGGCGTCTAGTTTGTCAATGACATCCGAGATTTTTTCAAGCTCCTTAATTTTTTCGTCGAGCAATTTTTTTTTGGCAAAGTTCGCCGATTGGAGATCCTAAAATGATGCGGTGATGAGCTGTACAGCTCTCGTGTTGGTCCTTTCCCCCGTGGATAAATGGTCTTAATTTAAATTTAAAATGAGGAGTTCTTCTTTTGTTTTTATTTTTATTTTGGGGCATATTTTTCGAAATTGTGTTAAAATTGAATTATACTGTGTACTAGTAGTCGGTCCCAAAAAACAAAGTTCACACTTCTCAGTGTTTAAGCTCAGGCCGTAAATTGGTTCCGATTTCAGAATGTTTATAAGGTCCCGGAGTACTACCTTATAGTCGTCGGCTAAATTCCCATCATCTAAATACCAGATGTTAATTTTCGACTCCAACTGTTTGACTAGTGTATGAATTGTTTCCGCAAAAAGGGGTGGGGCTTCAGGATCACCTTGCTGAGTTCCGTCTTCTGACATTATGACAGAGCTTCCGTAAAAAAGGTAACTAGGTTTACCATACGCGCAATGGGTGTAATTATACAATTCGGGGCGATTTGAATAAACATGATTCAGCATTGTTTCTCTGTTTAAAGAGTTAAAGGCATTCTTAAAATCTAGTTTTAAAAGAACAGTGCATTTTGGATTGTCGTCGCGTTCAATTAGGTTTCGAAACGAGTGCGCAGCTATTTCTGCTCCTCGTTTGGTACCGCATCCTACTTGTACGTTTCCGAAAAAAATTTTGTCGCTCGGAGAGGGCCTTGTTTCCAGCGCATTTAGACGCGATACGTCTCAGCGTGTTGCCTATGGCAATCGGTCTCAACCCTCCGTCTATCTTTATGAGGGCGATAAGCTTTGCGCCAAAAAAGAACGGTCTTAGTGGTTCGGGTATTTTGCCATCTCCAATGAGGTTTATCAGCTTAGTAAGCGATTTCAGAAAATTAAGTCCTGCACTGCCATTCGACTTACTAACAAGATCTTTAAAAATTTGAGGAACTATTTTATCAGGACCTGCTGCTGATCCGTTTGGAAAGGACATTATCGCTTTGTATAGGTCGAAATCGGTTACGAAAAAAACTATCCAATTTTTCTGGATTTGGAGCTGCAAATTTGGCTCGCTGCGGGTGCTTAGACAACAATTTTTGATAGTTATCAGTTGAAAAAGAGCTATTTTATCATCCGAAGCAGCAAGCCTTATTCCTCCCTTTACATTTCCTTCATCGAGCTTACTACTTATTAACTTTATTCTCTGCTCGAGGTCACTCAGAGGCGGGCTTGAAACTTGGGGATGGGGTTTTGGAAGTGACACGTCATTTGCACAAATTTTTTTATTTATCAAAGAACTCATGCTTGTGGTCTGTTTGCGTCCACTTCTTTTCGGTTGCTCCAACGACGTTAAAAAAATTAGCCATTTTGTAACATCTTCTACATTTGTAGACGATGTCATGTATTTTGTCCGACAGACTTTCCGCCAAGGGAACACGCGAGTCTTTTGGTACTCTCTTGAGTACTCGGACATTAGAGATGGCTGTATTAACATAATTGTCCTGCACTAAATCATTACCTATTATTGCTTTATTAACAGATTTTACATCAACGCATAAAGGACACTGAAACCATTGGGTTTTCTTAGAGTCGCTAAGAGAAATATTTACACAACTGATATGATACCAACTAGAACAACAATCACATCTAATCCAATTTATCAGTCCTGAAGGTTTTAAGCAATCTTTGCTTGTACATTCTTTGTTGTTTTTCCTCACCTTGACGCAGCATAAAGGTAAAAAAAAAAAGGATTTTGACTGGACTTTAGGGGACTGAACTAACCCATGATAAGCGGTTAGTGGGAATTTTACAAATCAGCAAAATTAAAAAAAAGACAACCAAATTAATTTAAATTTTAAAATCGAATTATAAAAATTAAAAACAAGGAACAATCTCACCCGAGCTCAGTAGGTCCAGCGGCGCACCACCAGACTCCTCAAGCCAGTTCCAGTTTCCCACCTCCCCACAGAAAGCCACTTGACAGACCTGTCTCTAAAATCCCTCAGAGGGCGCTCCACATACAGGCACAAACATCAAACATAACAAATCTATTTAATAAGTTTATCACAACAATTAGGCTAAAAGTACGAAAGGCTAAAAGTACAAAAGGCTCAATACTTTTACTCTCATTGAAATAATTAGTAGCAAAAGTCCGACTACTACAGGGATTTGACCCCCTCAACAACCAAAGGGTCCCTCTTTGGTATGTTTTATGATATCCATTTTCGGCCGACAAACCCTAAAATTTTTCAATATATGCTAATTTTAAAGGGGAGCACGCGCTGAAAAACGGAATTTTTTTGGTCAAAATTTTTTCAAAAAATCCCAAAAACGGGGTGGGGGCATGGTGGGGTAAACTTGAGTAGTCAGAGGAAGTAATTGGGAGGGGGAAGGGAATGGGAAGGAAGAATGATCGGACTAAGTGTGTGTGTGTGTGTGTGTGTGTGGGGGGGGATGGGTAGAGAAAGGGTACCGAAACAAAGGGTAGAGAAAGGGTAATGAAAACAAGGTTTTTAAGTAAGTTTGTAGAATCTCTTTCACCCCTATGGTACCTAGTAACGAATCTCTCCCCTCCCCAATTAAGAAATGGGTAAGGGGGCAGAAGGGAAGTAATTGCTACGTAGACCCAAAATTTCAGCTATCCGGGAACGAACTTATCCGTTCGCAAACTTATTAAATAGATTCCTCTTCCCTCGTTCAAACTGTGTGTTTTCAGAAAAGTTGTAGCTAGGAACAAGAACACTTTATTCGAAACGAAAAAAGTCCCGTCCGTTCCTAGCCGTGGATGGGTGAAAACCAATGAGATTTCACATATTCAAGAAATCGTCGTCGCAACACTTGTTGATCGGAGACTCACAATTGAAAAATCTAACTTTCCCAAATTTCAATATCCTCAGCCTTCCTGGTGCAGGTATCGCGGATGTTCTAAACTTCTTGCCCCGCAAGAACGAATACGATATTATAGCTCTATTCATTGGTGCGAACGATCTGTTTACGAAAGACAAAAAAGACTCAACGAGAACACCCGAAGACGTTGCTGAAGAATTATCCCAAATTGGCCTACGGTTGACAGAACGTTGCAATAAAGTTTTCATTATCGCTCTACCACCCAGACTCGGAAGACCAGCCCGAACGGAACGTGTAAACGATATTCTTCGCAAAAAGAAAGAACTCTGGCGATATCGCGGTATATCGAAAGGAATAACCACCAAAACTGTCTTATCTTCCGACGAAGTGCATTTAACAACAGCATCGCTTGCGAGTCTCCAAACGATTTTGAAAAAGAAAATCATCTACAAGAAGTTCTGTGTAAAAACTGATAGCGAGGGCTACTCGAATATATACCACTGCGGCAACAACACTTGTCGGTGTCATCATTTTCACAGAGACTGAATTTTCTATTGATACCTAACACTGATACTTCAGTCCTCAATCGGCGCCCTTTAGGTACCACCCTGAGGACTCGAGTACACTACCTAAACCTTCATCCCCCAAACACAGTTTCCACAGAGATAAGAGGACGTAAACATAAATAAAACTGAGAATGTCAAAGGACAAAAAACCTTGCAAAACATGCAAGAAACCCATAAACGAAAATGACCCAATATACAATTGCATCACCTGTAATTGCTCTATGCACCTTGAAGTTGTCTGCACTGGCCTCTCGACCGTTGCACTCAATGGAATACTGGAACTTGGTAACAACGCACTACTGATATGCAATACCTGTTTGTCCAACGGAAAAAGAGATCAAGTAATCAGAAGCACAGCATCACATGACAAAAGTGAAAACATCAAAAAAATTGAAGAAGAAATTTCAAAACTAAGTAAAGTAGTAGCCGAAGTCTCGACAAAAGTGGAAAATATTAAAGATCCCATCCAAAGCCTGCCAATAGCAGAACAGGGTAAAACCTGGTCACAAGTAGCGGCGCAAAACATAATCAAACCCCTGAGCAAAGGATTGAGAATAAGAGGGGTCCCCGAGATCAAGGAAAGAGATGGAAGAAAAAGACTTGACCATGACTATGATGAGGTAAATAAAATCATGAAATTCTTAAACCTCGAATGCAATATCACTGATCTCAAGCGTGTGGGAAAGTTCAGCGAAGAACGAGCAAACCACAGAACTATACTGGTACGAGTAACCTGTCCAAGAGAAATAGACTTGATACTATCATCAACACCGGCCCTCAAAAATTATGACAAAAATGTCTTCATAAGTAAGGAACTCTCAGTCGAAGAAATGAAACTGGAAAACGCCATCCTGAGAGAACGTAGAAATCTCATCAGCAGTGGAAAAAACCCCAAAAATCTTCGAATCAGAAACCTAGAACTGCATGAAAAAGTAGACGACACCTGGACAAAAGTTACAATTAAACCGGAGGCAAACAGCACAATTCAGACTAAAAATGACAACTGACTAGAATCGCTGAATGTTATGTCATTCAATACACGAAGTATACTGGATATAAATAGACGTATGAAACTTAGCAATATAATACTATCGAACGATTATGACATCATTTGCTTAAGCGAAACTTGGTTAACTGAAAATATCCCTGACAACGCGCTTTTTCTGCCTGCACACATAATAACTAGATGTGATAGACCTACCAACTCAACAAAATCGAAACACGGGGGCGTGCTTATTGCTGTTAAGCAATCCCTAGCTTTCAGAAAACTTGAAATACACACTACGGACTGCGTTGGACTCCTCCTTAACACTCCGACACCTCTCATCCTATGCTGTATCTACAGTGCCCCGAACGAAAGCAAATATAAGCTATCCACAGATGACTTCAACAAACTATTGAATATGCTAACTGACTACTCAAATGAATTTCAATGCCCAAATATTTTATTGGTTGGTGACATCAACTTCGCTAATACGCATTGGCAAACCTTGCAATCAACCCAAAAACACGAACAATTAGTACTGCAGACTTTTACTGATATGAACTTTCAACAGTTTATCGAACCCCCTCATGACCAATTAGATATTGTCTTTTGCAACAACCCCGACATTATTTTAAACAGCACGATAGACAACCATATGAAAAAACACTTCTCACACCAAGAAAGAGAATTATCAGACCACAACCCTTTTCTAATCACGATATCATCTCTTAGACACAATGACGAAAAAGCCACTCCCATACAACACGGATCCGACTTTCTGGACTTTGGTGTCTTCTCATTAAACAACGTCGATTGGATTACTTTAAACAAATACATTTTGGAACACCCATTTCAACCGTACTGCTACTCTAACATTGACCACTTAATCAACTCATGGTACCTCTGGCTATATATAGCACTAGAAAAACACATGAAAAAACAGACCAAACACCGTATGAACCTAGCACCTTGGATCACACCTGAAACCTCCAATATTATCAAAAGACTCAACACAGCATCAAAAAAAGTAGCCTTTAAAAATACTCATACTAATAACCGCAATCTTGAAAGACTTAAAAACCTTGTAGATCATTTATCCGAATTAGATCAGAAAAATTTCGAAGAATCAACTTTCAAGGGCAGAAATTTCTCAAAGCTCCAAAAATACTTTAAAAGCATACGAAAAAACTCAAGTACTCCAAAAACAATGTACTGGAATGAAAAAACCGAATCAACAGAGCACGGTAAAGCTAATTTTCTAAACAATTACTTCGTAAGCGTTTTTAACATTAAACAGAATGAAAACATTTTACCAATAGCTGAATTACCTGGCTCAATCAAATGCTTCAATTTCTCTGAAAATGAGATATACGACATCCTTAAAACATTAAACCTCCAAAAAGCAAGAGGACCAGATAGACTCGGTAACACAGTCCTAACCAATTTAGCAGATAGCATAACTTCATCTCTAAAACTGATTTATAACACCATCACCAACAAAGCAACATTTCCAACGATCTGGAAACTTGGCCAAATCATCCCAACTTTTAAAAATGGAAACAAGCAATCAGTCACAAACTACAGGCCCATCAGCCTGCTAACTGCAGTATCCAAAGTCTTAGAGAAACTGATCTTCCTTAAAATCTCACCAAAGATCTTCTCACAAATCCATGACAGCCAATTTGGCTTCTGTCCTAAACGATCGACAACTCTGCAAATGCTCCAATTCCTCGACAAAATCTATGATGACTTTGATAACCCTAATATCAAGTCTCTACAGGCAATATACTCAGACTTCGAAAAGGCTTTCGACAAAGTTCCTCACGACTTGTGCATATATAAACTCAATAAATTTCGCATATCAGGAAACGCACTTAAACTAATAGCAAACTACTTAACCAACAGAAAACAGCAAGTACGAATAGGTGCGGCAGTATCCAGCCATCTTGAAGTTAGTAGCGGCGTACCTCAAGGCTCACTGTTAGGGCCAGTATTCTTCATTACATTCATCAACGATTTACCGTCATCACTCACCAACTCGTGCTATGGTTACGCAGACGATTATAAAATTGTTGCAACGAACCCTTCCCTGCTCCAACATGACCTAATCACGATCAACTTATGGTGCAAAGATAATTCCATGAGTCTTAATTTGAAAAAATGTCACAATATAATATTCAAAGACCCCCAACTTGACCTAAACATGTATCTCGGTGACCATATACCTGAAAAAACCTGTTCAGAAAAAGACCTTGGTATACAAATAACCAACAACCTAAACTGGTCAGCACACGCAAAAATAAGAGCCCAAAAAGCAATAGGCTGCTTATTTTTAATTAAAAGAAATATTTCAAAATCAGCGAGCTTAAAAATGAAACTGAACTCCTTGTAACTCCGTCTATGTAACATTCGCCCAAATATCACACAGCGACGGAGCGTAGAAAAAGTACCTATCAACGACTGGCAGGCGTCAGCTACCTTAATTCTACTCGTTTTTCACCGTCTCGACCTTGCCAGTTGATTTTCTGGTCTGTTTAGGGCAAAGTAAAAAGTTACCATTTTTAGGCCATCAGTCAAACGACTTTTGATCAGCTTTCGTTTGCATGCGAACACAACCACATAGCTGAGTCTCGGATCCTCAGACTACGTGATTGTCATTAAAAACACGGCTCGAACAACCTATTTTTATATGTTTTTGTGTGACAGTTCTATATCAAATCCATTGGAGATGAATTGACCCTTTCCTTTTTCTATCTACTCATGCTCTGAAATATTAAATAATAACGGTGTTAATTAAGATCTAGGACATTACAGCAGCTGTTATAGTCAGTTTTCACAGTCCCTTCACATATAACAGTCTCTGGGGGACCAAGCCTCCGCTCCCGTGATTTTCTTGAGATAACACTTTTATCTCCTATATTTCGTGTCCCGGGAGGGTTCCGTGGTATTTCTCTTCCCCCCACTGAAGCCTCCGTCTCCACAAATATCTGTCGCTAAGGTCCTTATCGTGTGTTCTTGCCACGATAAGAGGCTCCGTAATTTTTCTGTCTCTGATACAACCGTTCTTCACAATTTCTATCGTTGTTCTGATTTTCGTCTTTTTTATTCAAAATGGCCGTCTTTTTTCTATTTCTCAGAAATGTTCTTCTTCCGATCGAAATTTTAAAAATAAAAATTCTAGAACATTCTGACCCTCCGTCGCAACACTTTTCTGTTCATAAGGCCTTTAGTCACTTTTATTTCTGTCGCGGGAAGGTTATGCTATGGTTACGCAGACGATTATAAAATTGTTGCAACGAACCCTTCCCTGCTCCAACATGACCTAATCACGATCAACTTATGGTGCAAAGATAATTCCATGAGTCTTAATTTGAAAAAATGTCACAATATAATATTCAAAGACCCCCAACTTGACCTAAACATGTATCTCGGTGACCATATACCTGAAAAAACCTGTTCAGAAAAAGACCTTGGTATACAAATAACCAACAACCTAAACTGGTCAGCACACGCAAAAATAAGAGCCCAAAAAGCAATAGGCTGCTTATTTTTAATTAAAAGAAATATTTCAAAATCAGCGAGCTTAAAAATGAAACTGAACTCCTACTGTGGATATGTAACCCCAATTGTGTCATATGGCTCACCCATATGGAAAGCAAATAAGTGTGAATTAAAAATTATTGAAGATGTCCAAAGAAAAGCTACACGTTGGATACTGTCATGTAACAACATCAACTATAAAGACAGACTGATTAGATTAAACCTGCTTCCACTGTCTCTCTACCACGAAATGCACGACATTCTCTTGCTTCATAAAATAATAAACGACCAATACAACTTCCATTGGAGACAATTTGTTCAGTTCAAAGAATCTACAGCCCCAACAAGAAGATCAACGAAAAATAACTTAGCGCATAAAAATTATCATTACGAAAAATCGAAAAGCAATTTCTGGCACAGAACACCTATACTAGCAAACAAAATTTTACAGACTCAGGAAGAAGAAGACCTGTTTGCGATGAAATACGAAAGACTCAAATCAAGCCTCAAAAACGTTTTCTGGATATATTTCATCAGTAAATATGAGGAAAGTGTCCCATGCACATGGAGAATAAACTGCTGCAATAGCTGTGTAAATTCAAAGAAACTATAAAACTCAGTTTAAAACTCCCAACGCGGGGCGTTTTAGCCCCATGGCTTTATGTCTAAATCCTTGTTTATTATTATTATTATTATTATCCGGGAACAAATTTATTTTTCGGCTATCCGGGAACAAATTTATTTTTCGGCTATCCGGGTATTCGGCTCCGTGACACGCCACCAATCAAGCATGCATACATTGCTTTCAGGTATGGATGAGCAGAAACCACCGAACAAGTCAGTGGCTGAAAATTTTTGCACTGAATTTGTGTCTGAAATGAAAATTCCTGACTATGTTCAGTTACATGATAAAATATTCAATTTGAAAGAAACTTGGCGTGCTGAATGGGAAAGGGGAGTGCAAATTCCAGTAGAAAAAACTGCCACTCATAATTTCGCCGTTGATCAAATTTTTGAGAAGAAAAATGTAAATAGAGCCAGTAAAAGGCGTCTAGACTTTTCACTTCCAAAGTCTCTAATCGAATCAGATGAAAACTTGATTTTGAGAAAAAGAGCGGCAACTCCATATAATTTAGACCTACTAGACGTTCATTGGATATCCGATTTCAGCAAGTATTTACAATTATCAATATTACCTCAGAGCAGTGCAAATAAACCGGTCTCAATGGATGAGACATTATTTGAAAACACAATGAGCTGGCTGGAAATGAACTGCAACGATGCAATGACTACTTTTTTGGGAGCTAACCGCAATGCTGGATACGGTTAGTTTGATAATATAACTGTTATCACCAACCCCAGGGAAGAACATATTAGTAAAGAAAGTTAAAAAAACGTTTAGTAGATAACTACCGTCCTGTCTCACTTTTGAATATCATTAGCAAAACTCTTGAAAAATGAATGTGCCCAGAGCTCTACAACCGCTTAAATTTCCGTACGAAATGTTAACATGGTTAGCAAAAACCCGTTCAGTGATCACAAAGATGCTGAGATTCCTGAAGGACACCTATGATACATTCGATAGAAAATCTGATAAGGAATCGGGTATTAGACTTTTCCCCAAATAAATTTTGTTCACTGGACACACCTAGACTCATCTGGTGTGGTTCATAATGAATTCAAATTTCTCAGTTTCTCCTGCACCTTTAGCCTGGAGGTAACAAATACAACTGGGATGGCAAAGGTCATGGTTTCGAGTCTGACCAGGAGCTGTTTTTTTTTCAAACAACTGTTTTTCAAATCTATTTGTCGAGATAATAGTTGTCTGCTTATGTTTTGTCGGCTTAGTTGCCACATCTAAGAACAGTTTTTTTTTGCTATACAAATTTTTCGTTATAGTTGTTTTTAGTGTTTTAGCTTTTAAGTATTCGTCTTAATAGTTTTTTATGGCGTTTGAAACTGTTTTTTTTTGTGTACGTGTATGTGTTCTGAGGAAAAGGGGGACGTTATCTATCCATCTATATATCTCTATCTATTTTCTATATGTCTATATTCTATATACTCTATTTAAATGCTAGTGACAGCTATCTCCCATGTTTAAGCTTAATAATTTTGTATGTTTAACGAAAGATTTTTTTCATGTTTAAGCTATATCATATATTGCAATGCTTAAGAAAATTTTTCAATTAGCTTTCCGCAAGGTCATTAGTTTTTCAGTAATTTTTTTTCAAGGCCAAATTAAATGTGTCTGAATACCTACTTTTTAAATTAATTTGATTATGTCAGTCTACCCGTCTCCTAATTTTTTAACTTTGAATTTGGTTTCGACGATTTAGTGCTACTGTCTTACGGTTGTCTCCAATCTCTCTTTACCTTTATCTGGATTTTCTATCTTTTTTTCTAGCTGTTTTTTCTATCTTTTTTAAAAATCTTTTTCATCTTTTTTTATCTTTTTTTTTCGTATATTGCAATGGTAAAGATTTTTTTTCGATTTCCTAGTTTGAATTCAGTAGTTATTCTACCGAGTTTCAAAACAGCAGCCCAATAGTGGCATGCTGTCAGGGTTCACAAAGTGGTTGCGAATTTGGTCTCCAATTAAGAAAGCTCAAATTCTTCAGAAAACTCAAATTACAAAACAGTTTACTTAACTTGAAATTCCCAAAACTAATTGGGTGCTTTCCCAAACCTGTAGTTGGGTGCTGTCAGAGTACTCACAAGAATTGCGAATCTTTATCCAAATGAGACGGCGCAAATTCTTGTAGTTTTCGTGATATCACGTTTTTTGTGTTTTTTTAAAAAAAATTTCGGAAAATTTGAATTAATTAATGTTATCAAAATTTGAACTTCTTTACCGTCTTTGGGTGCTGTCAGGGTACTCTCATGGGTTGCGAATCTTGTCTCCAAAACTAACTGCTCAATTCGTTGTAGTTTTCGAGATATCACGTTTTTTGTGAGTTTTCAAAAAATCTTCAGAAAACTTAAAAGAATTTTTTACGCTGTAGTTGGGTGCTGTCAGGGTGCTCTCAGGAGTTGCGAATTTTGCCTCCAAACATGAGTGCTCAAATAATTGTAGTTTTTGAGATATGAGGATTTTTTCTATGAATTTTCCAAAAGTTTCAATAAACTTCAGTTCAAAAAATTCTCAAAATTTAAATATCCCAGGAGTTGTAAATCTTGCCTCCAAATATGACTACTCAATTTTTTTACTTTACGAGATTTGACTTTTTCGAGATGACGGAAAATAGGAAATATCAAATTACCAGCCATGTAATTGAGTGCTGTCAGGGTACACTAAAAGACTGCAGATGTGGTTTTCAATGTATGAGGTTTTTCATGAGTTGTCAAAAATTCGAAGCACCGGAGGTGCGTTACACGCTAGTTTTTTTTATTTGTGATTTTTTTGGCATGAATGGTTTGTTCCCGCTGAAATCTTTTCGGTTTTGTTACCGCTTGGTAAGGTTTGCTCTAATGCTGATTTTGTTTTTTACTTGGGCAGTACATAGTTTTTCAATAAAATTTTTGCCGATCAATTTTAGTTGATTTTCAGCTGACTGGCTGTCGGCTTTAATTCTCGGCTTATTCGTCTAAGTTTCTGATATGAGTTATGAGAGCGATAAAACTCTTGCACCATATTTTCGAATGCTCATATTGAACCCCTTTTGGAACTGTTCAAGAATTACAAACATTAAAACACATGAATTTTATTTTTTCTTTCTTTAACGGTATCAACGTTCGAAGTCCTCTTTGATAGCTCTTGAGCGTCGTGCTGTTTTAATCCTATGCTTGTTGTATCGCAAGTGGAGCGATACTCAGCTTCGCTTCTCTGTTGAGATTTCTCTACAGCTTTCGACAAAGGGAGCATTACGAACTCCTCGGGAAAATTAGCATCATTGTAATAGGAGGATGTTTTTTGTAATTAATCTATGACACAAATCAATTTGTACAAACAGAAAGCGTTTCTTCTGATACTTTGGATTTTACTAGTTGATGCCCGCAAAGATTGCTGCCTGGATATTTGTTTTTCTCTATCTTCATTGAAGATATCCCTGACGCAATGAAATTCAGCGATCCATATATTTTTTCCAGACGACTTGAAACTTAGTATCTTACAAATGATAGAAGATATACGAAAAGACCTCAAGAGCTGTGGAACAGTGAGTTAAGAATAATACAATGAACTTAAATGTGGTAAATATCTTGGTTGCTAAATATCTTGCCCTTGCAGCGTTTCTTCAACTGAATGAACTACTTCTTATTTGAGAAATCATACATGAAAAGAGCGACAAAATTGATCTATCTACCTTCAATGGTTGAGTTACCGGCTCTTTTTCCTTTCCCCCACCTGCGAATTTTCACGAGTAATTTCCCTGTTCACATTGTCCTATTGTTACAAAAATTGGGGTGCGGACTAATTAGACTATGACAAACATATGTGGTCTTCATAATAAAACTTGTAAAACCCCTGGTTACTCCATAGAAATTGTGCTTACGTGAGGTGGGGGAAAAAGAAGAAAGAGCCGAGTTACCGAGACGAAATAATGAGTTCTTTAATCTCGAGAAAGCGAGAGGAGTGTTTACGTTCAGGACTTATAGCCCGCAGAATCGTTTGATGTTTTTTCAAAAAATCCACGACTTATACGAAGAACCATGCAGTTAATGCAGGAGGTTTTTTACGATTGATTGGCGGAACAAAACAAATGCACATGGTTCCTGCTCCGCGACTGCAACATAGAAACAGCTGGATAAAAGTTTAGAAGATGTCGGGATTTAAATGCCTTCAGTTATACTGTAAATCCTCAGGATCCAAATATATTTCCCAATGTATTTTCTTTCATTGATGTTCTTATTGTAACTGAAGTCAGAGAACTCAAAAAAAGATGTCGGAGTTAAATGAATTTGTCGTTGGATTTTTGATTTCGTTCCAATATTGTCGGCTCACTTGATAGCCGTATGATTTTCGAAGACTTAACAGTTTATTCAAATTTTCCTATTCAATTTTGAGCACGGTAATTAAATTCCATTGATTTTAGTTTTTACGAAATTGATGTCGCGTTTTGTCGACTGCATGGCGTCTGATCTTTTTCGGTTTAATTTCTAGAAACTCAGCATCTTTTTTTGTAGTTTTTTTTTTAAATTTGGTCAAATTGTTTTCAAAGTATCATTCTCTATCGTCACCTGAATGATTTTTGTCGCCAAAGGCTCTTTGCGACTTGTATTATCTTGAAGTGTTTGGTAATCTTCTATCTAAATTTTTTGATTTTAAAGTTTTTTGTCAATTGTAATTTTCACTTTAATCAATCATATTGTTTTTGACGAAGTCTTTTTCGTGGTTTTGAGTTTTGATTATTTAAGTTCATTTAATTTGCTTTGATAAAGAGAAGGCGAACTTCATGATCGAACAGCAAAAGTATGAAGGTCTGGAGAAACGTGAATGATTTCTAGTTTCAAACATGGACTAAAGTATCTCTTTATCCAGTTTCTCTGAACGGAATTACTTTAAGAAAACTTCAACTCAGTCTTGAAATTTTTTGAGCTTCATAGTGATGTTCGTTTTTTCGTGATTCGAAAGTTGAAAAAGTTTTTTTATCCATTTTTTGTTTTCCTTATTTCATCTGCTCGCTATGGTTGTTATAACGGGCATTATAAATTTGTCGTCTGTGGTTGAAACGAGTTTATTATACCTTCACTAATAACAGTCGTATAACTTAATATAGATGTTATTAGATTGATTACATAAATGTCAAGTTTTTATAGATTTGTGCATATTCTTTGAAGAAATTGTGTTTTTGATTAATGTGGTTGACATTTTTTACACAATCAAGCTAAGCGTTCCTTTTTGCTGTATATCATGTGTTTCATAGCATGTTAATATCGGCTTTGTGTTTCATAGCCTCGATATCGTCTTTGTTAGTGGCTGGTGTTTCAATATCAAGAATGACTTATTTTCGCCTTTTTCTTTTTTCTCTTTATCTAACTAATTGGCGTTTCACTGGACACATGTTTAAGAAGTTCTTATGTTGAAATAATTAAGCTTTTTCAACGTATTTTTTTGCAGACTTGAAGAGAATTTTTGCACGTTTAAGCTACATCGTATATCGCAATGCTTCAGAACTTTCATTTGGCACAAGTTTAAAAAGTCCAATAGGCCGTTGAAAAGCAAGGGATGAAATGCTTACTGAAGTCGACGTTTCAAAATCTGTTGAAGCGCGACTGCTTTAACTCGACATTTTTCCGATATTCGCAACGTGAAACTATCAAAACTTTGGTTTCACAGTTTATTTAACTAAATTTGAAATTCTTACCCCTACAGTGGGGTGCTGTCAGTGTACACCCAAGGGTGGCGGGTGTGGCTGCTCAAATCTTTTTGTTTCTCGAGATATTGCGTCTTCGTGATTTTTTTTCAAGTGTGCCCTCAGAGTTGGCAAAGCTGCTGTCCAAGTATGGCTGCTCAAGTCCTTTTAGTTTTCAAGATATGGCGTTTTGCATGATTTTTTCAATTTTCAAAAAATCTTTGATACCAGAAATAACTAAGAGAACTTCAAATTTGCAACGCTAAGGCGGGGACTTGTCATGTGCACTTGTCCGTTGCAAACCTCGCCTCTAAATTTGACTGCTCAAATCCTTTTGATTCCCGAGATAGGGCGATTTTTTTCATTTAAAAAAAAAAAAACTTGAATTAAAAACAAACTAACTGATCTTGAAATTCTCAACCCTTATGGTTGGGTTCTGTCAGGGTTTATTCAGGGGCAATGTCAGGGTAAACGTCTGGCCTCTGTTTTTTTAGTGCTCAAATCTTTTGTTTCGGAGATATGGCGTTTCTCATGATTTTTCAATACTTCTTCGTAAAAGCTTAAAGTTAAAAAAAACTTATAGAAATCGAAATTCTCAACCCTATGCTGGGATGCTGTAGGGTACAATATAGGGTAGAAAATCTGCCCTCTGTTTTTTTTGCTCAAATCATTTTGGTTTTCGAGATATGGCGGTTTTTATGAAACAGAAACCCCCTGATAGACGAGCCCAGTTCATCTTCACAGTTGCATTAAATATCGCTGTTTTGGTACAGGTTTTCGAAAGCTCTTTAAACGTTCAACGATCTAGTTGAAGCAACGTAGGTGTGATTCCTGCGCTAATGCCTTTGAAGAGCTGTTTTTGCTGTGTTTTAAGTTTTTGTTTCGCTAAGTGCAGCCTAGCGTCTGTCTTTCGGTTTTGTTATTCAATTTTTTCATCGACCATTTTTTCAATGAAATCCACTATCTTTAAATGCGTCTGCCACTACCTAGTATTTTTCGAGCTACACACATTGTGTCCTGTTTCAGATTATGTTTTTGCACGTTTCAGTTATAACATGTGCAATGACTTATATATATTTTTTTAATTTTCTTGTTGGTGACCGCATGATAAAATTAAGACCCGAATATAAGGCTGTAGCGATGCCAGCAGAAGGGTCTAGGGGCAAAGCAAGGCAGGTTACGGCAAGGCGGTGGAGATTGAGACAGAACCAGAGAAGACAAGGCAAAACAACGCAAGGTAATGCAAAACAGCGTAAGGAATATGAGGAATCCATGGCAGGGGAGGTCCTGGAAAAGCCAGGGCTCTCAAGACAAGGCAAAAAGAGTGCAAGGCAGGAGCAGGGGTGGGCAAAGAATGTAGTTATGGGCAAGGTAAAGCAAAGTAGGATAGTTTGAGGCGGGATAAGGCGAGGCAAATATAGGCGAGGTAAGGTAGAGTTATGCAGCATAAGGATGGAGTCCATTCGGCAATCTATACAGCCACCCATAAATCTTTTCAGTCGTACAACGATATAGCATTGTATCCAGCTACCCATCCATCCTGTCAGCCATCGCTCCATCCAGCCATCTATCCAATTATCCCATTCATCCAGTTATCCCATCCCTTCAGACAGCAATCTGTTTTCCATCACTATTCCAGTCAGCTATCTATCCTGCCGTCCATCCAGCGCTCGCTCCAGTCAGCCATCGATCCATACATATATCCAAGTATCCCTTTAACCAGTCATCACATTACTCCATTCAGCCAGATATCCATTAGTGCATTCATCCAGCCCGGAGCTCTAACCCGGAGGTTAAATATTTAGGTTGACAAGAGCGCATCTGACCAGCGCCCATTAAGCTATTTTGGAGTGGTTTTTTTTTGAACCTCTCCTAAGACTTTTTTCACATTTTGCCTTTCTTTTTTTTAAGTAGTGCAAAGCTCTGAAGGTCTCTGCGTAAGGCTGGTCGGTAACTTGTGACTTGGAATTTTTCATCATCGGCCTTGACAAAAATAGCAAAAGAATATGATAAACAGTTATCAGATTGTTCCGGTTAAAAACTTAATCAGAATGGTTAAATTTAGAGGCATGTTGTTTCAAATTTCGCTAAAAGGTTTTAATGGTTTAGCGAAATAAATACTAATGAAAAAAAATGTAGGTCGTTGGATTCGCATCATATATTGAAAATATATCCTTTTTCAGACAAACCTTATTTTTGTAAGATCTTCATCTTCCCACTACCTGTAAAAAAGCAAATACCTGTAATATTGGCAGTTATTATTCATTTCGGTACGTCTTCGTGTTTATTTGTTGTGCTGATGTTTTACTGACTCTTATTTGCTTCATTTTTGTTCAAATCAGGCATTGAGTTTGATCTGGACACCCAGTGTGCAGTGTGTGGGTGTGAGGAGTCCAGTTGTGACAATGAGATCCTCTTCTGTGACGGCTGTGACCTGGCAGTGCACCAGGGGTGCTATGGGGTGGTGGATGTGCCAGTGGGTCGCTGGTTCTGCTCCATATGTCTGTCCAATTTACCCTCCCCTCCTCCGTGTCAGTTGTGTCCATTAGTGGGAGGCAGGTCAGCTGCCATGAAAAAGGTGAGAATGACAGAGCTATTTAATGCTAATGCCACAATATTTGTAATCTAATTATTGACTATTTTGCGTTTCTAGGTTTCATATTTTTGATTTATTATTCAGTTTTTGTTTTAGTAAGCTTCTATTGTAAAGACTGTTTATTTACCATTGCGATAAGCAAGGTTATATTGTAATCGGGTATTAGAATTTTTCCTCCGTAAATAACTTTGTTCACATGATTTCCAATTTTAATATATCAATTTCTCGATGTTGTACGTTTAACGGCTGGTCGAGAGCTACTGAAGTGATACTGTGTCACCAGGTGAAAAAAAAATAGAGTTCGATTTTTTTGCCGGCTTTATTGATCTCGTCCCAATGTCGGATTACAGGCCGTGTCTTTTATTTCTAACTGTTTTGGTAGAGTTTCTAAGTACGTTTCCATACTTTTGACGGTAAATTTAGTTCATGGTTTCCTCGTTTTTATATACGCCAAAACTTTCTTTGTTTTAGAAAAAAAAGTTTTTTTTTTGAAATTCAAAAAAGTTGCTGATAATTTTCATTAATTTTAAAAAATCTGTAAGGGCGTATAATTAGTTTTAATTTTAATTTAATGATTAATTTAGGATTGAGAAATTTTGTTTGAAATCGATTCAAGTTGATGGCAAAGCGTATTGTGTTAGTACGTTAAAAAATGAAGCAAAAAAATATACATTTTCGAACATTTTGTTTGCTTTATTTTTGCAGTTTGACTGACTGTTTTGTCTAAGAAATTATGTGGCGAATTTTACACGAGATTCAGGAGTGTGATTCTTTCTGTCTGAAATTTTCGAAACAAAAATCTGATTTATCGTGTCTCTTTATTTCCTTTACGGGCTCCTTTATTGTTATCTTAACGTTGCGTATCGGGTTCATATGTATTAAGATTGATGTACTTGGGATTTGTAAGTTTTTATTGTTTTTTTTTAGATTTTCTCTAAGTTCTTTTTCGTGGAGATGGTTTGAAACTAAAGTATTCCTTTTTTAATTTTTTTTTTCATTCATTTTATTAGTTTATAGCAAATGTTATTGTTGATGTTTATAGTCAATTGTTCCTGTAGGATATGCAAGTTGTTTGTTTGCGAGATTGTACACAAAGTTTTTGAGAACGTTTAGGAATTTTTGGATCTTGATGTTTCGACCAAAATTTTTTTGACCGCGTAGTTTTTAAGCTCACGATTTTTCCAACAGAATTCATTTAAGGTTTTCACTTTTCATTTGAGCACAGTATCTTCTGACTTTTAGCTCTTTATTTTGTATCGGAAGTGGTGCGAAGCTCAGCTGCGCCTCTATGTTAATTATGTTCCTGATTTAGATATTAACAGTTTCAATTTCAAATGTTGATCTCAACTGGAGTCAATGTCAATTTTTCGTTTTGTATATCGAAGAAAGTATGTTTTTTCTTCTTTTTTTTCTGATTTTGATTTTTTCGATATGATCATGATTTTGATATGATCATTGGCTATAATTTGTTCCAGGTCAAGGGTCACCCACAGAAGTGGTGTCATGTTGTTTGTTGTCTCTGGATCCCGGAGACCTGGTTCCAAGACCCCCATCGGATGGATGTCGTCGTCAACTTAGAAGGTGTCTCCAGAATACGACGAACACTAACATGCGCAGTGTGTAAGCAGAGAAACAGTGGAGCTTGTATTCAGTGCAGTCATGAGGCGTGCTCAGTGTCATATCACGTGACATGTGCGATGCGTGCAAATTATGAGGTGTGTGCCGAGTACAGGGGCGGTGCAGGTAACGGTTTGGATGATGATGATGAAGAGTTGAATGGGGATGAAGAAGCACATTTTGTCAGTTTTTGTCGCCGACACTCACAGGTGAGTCTTGAACAATAATTCATTGTTATTCATCATCTTTTCAAGTGTCCATGAACGTACTGAAGAAACTTGTATAATTTTTTTTTCGTTTTTTTTTAGGATAAATGCGGCAATGTTTAGTAGTTTCGAGCGATGGTGGGACCAAAAAACGCAATGTTTTGAATCCAAATTTTTGGGCAGTGTCGAAAAACGGTTTAGTCTTTGGTTTTGGGAGACTTCGGAAATCAATTTAGTCCTTTACGGGTTGCGGAATCCAGAACAACTAGCTATATTAGCTTGTTGCGGAATCCGCAACAACACAAATGTGCCGACAAAACATTACGAGGCCAAACTGTGCTTTTTGGGATGTAAGCCGACTCCCCAATAAGGAAGCTCCCTTTGTTCTTCTTCTATTCTTTCATTTTTTTTATCGTTCCGACAAAATTTTAACATTTTTAAAGATTTGTCTCTGGAATCCAGGAATATACAGACACGAAATTGTGCGCCCATCCAGTGCACAGTTTGGCCTAGTAGTGTTAGCCTATGAAAAGATCGACAAAGCTTTCGATTTTTTTGTTGATAATCCGCGTAGCATGGGCTTGTATTTCGGTGCTTTTTGCTGCTGGATAAATATTTTAACTAGTGTACTTCATTCATGTACAGGATTATTTTTTGCTATGCGTTTTTTTCTTCAGGAATTGAGAAGGGAGAGAGCGAGGCGAGATATTCCGACAACGAAAAGTAGTGAACAGAATGCACAATTGGGCCAAGAACTGTCGGAGAATCGGTCAAGTATACTTAGCACAGAAGACAGAAATAACAACAACATTACAAGCGACTATGTTTCTGGCGACAACAAAAGTGTAGTCTCAGCAAACACGGAGGGTAGTAGCGGGGATCCGGGTGGTTCCGTCGGCGGATCCGACCACAAAGTACATTGGGGCGGAACTCCTATCAACAGACGAAGCAGTAGGACGACTCGGAATTCAATGAGGAGCGCGGTGGGTGGGGAAATGAAGGGAGGTGGGCTTCAGAATAAGGAAGACAGTGGGGGCGATTCAGTGGCGATGACACCACGCAAAGTCAAGTTGGAAAGAATTAAGAGCAGGTATTTACTTAGACTATATTTGTAATTCTTCTTTTTGGCTGTTCAGTTCCTTTCCCTCCTTAATTAACATTTTGAACAGCAGCCAATGATGCTGCTCAAATGTTTCGAACTTGATCATCGAGATACTTGTCTATTTACAGTTGACGATTTTCGATCTATCAAATTGTTTATTAGAAGCAAGTGTCTTGTAATCGGGAAGTATACTTTTTTCCGGTAAATAAGTTTTCGGTGGTAGACCAACTAGCAGAATACGATTACCATTCCAACTAGCCGAAAGTTAATTTTATTATGCAACATAATAACAGATTGCCATTGCTGTTATGCAATTGTTACGTAAATCTTATGTAATTTACGTAACTCTAATGTAATTTCGGCTTCAAGATATGGTGGTTTGTTGAATATCCGCCAAACTTTATTAAATATATTAGACTATTGTCTGTCTGCTTATTTTTGTCGGCTTAGTTTCCGCATTAACTTTTATAAGGTAAAGCTTCTTTCTAGAAGTTGTATTGTTTTTTGAAATGTTTCTAATGGCTGGTAATTTCTTTACAGGATGTTTTTGGCTTTCGTTGCAGTTTTTTTTGGTTTGTTTTTTACACTTTGGTTGGTTTTTTTTCGCTTTCAATCATAGTCATTTATTTACACAGGCAAAGCTTGTGTTATAGTATGAACTCTCTTTTTCTCCAACCTAATTTGCAAATTTTTGTTGCGACAAAATGTATTCATTTTGAAAGTGTTCATTTTGATCAACAGGGTTCGAACCTGGGCAGGGTCGGATGTTTTAAATGAACTTTTTCGTATACTAGTTAAATTGCGTCCGCTCTATACAATGAGGCATGTTATTTGGTAAATTTCTTCTTTTTTTTTCAAATTGACTGGTGCTGCTAATGCGTCATAATTGGCGTGGGTCACTTAAAAAATTTTGTTAACCCACGTCTTACTCATTCAGTTTTTCTCTGTAGAGTTATCGGTCATATTTTTGCTTGTGTATGCGAAGTGCGACTTCGCCTCTGTGTATAACAAGTGGTGCCAAGTTTCACTTCTGTGTTAAATTTGTGCTTTTCATTGTATTTATTACAGCTCTTCAGTTCTTTTATCAGCTTACAAGAAATCTGTATAATTTGAAAGTTTTCATTTCGGGTACCAGGTAGAAACTCTAATCTGATGTGATATGACGTCATATGCACTGTTTCAGGTTCTACACATTTGTGGACTTGACTTCACTTTACACCTCCTTCAGAGACAGATGGCTGAATAAAAGCAAGAGCAAAGGAGCATCATCAGGAAAAGATCTAACCGTAGTGCAACAACTGGATCTGATTCTGGATGGGATATTTGAGTACTGGAAATTAAAACGCAAGAGTGTCAACAACCAGCCGTTGATTCCTCTTGAATGCACGGCGTCGAAAGCTCAAGAGGCTCATCTAAGTACCCGATTGGGGGTTCCGTCGAACGGTACAGGAGACGGGGGAGGATCTGAAGGGGAAGGGGTTGTAGTGATGCGAAACAACACATTATTCCTGACTGCGGCTTACATAGACTTAAGACGAGAAATGGAAAAGCTTCGTAATCTAGTCCACATGGTGTGTCGTCGCGAGAAACTAAAACGGATGATTCAGGATTGCAATGGGATTGACAAGTTTGAGGTGGAATTGAAAGGAGTGCAGGCTGAAGTAGAATTGAACGAGAGTCGCAGGAGGAGTAACGTAGATGTTGGGGGTTCCAAGGCACAGGGGAAAAATCAAATTGACGAAGTCGCGGATTCGGGGCCTCAGTGGAGATATACGAGTGAAGAAAGAAAAGCTAAAAGAAGACGATTGATGGAAAACGAAGAAAGAGAAATAGAAGAAAAATCAAAACGTGAAGTGAAACAAACACATCTGCTTGAAACAAAGCAGCAAGAGAAAAGCAATGAACTGAAAAGAAATGACGTGGATCTAAGAGATCTAGTTGACAAATTGCTGTTGGCGTCACAATTCACGGCTGATAAGCGAAGCGAAGAAGGACATGTAACGCAACAGAAAGCGAAGCAGTCGTATGTTCCTGACTATCTCAAAGTGACATCGGACGCAAAACCTCTGAAAGCTCTCTTAAATGAAAATCAAAGTGACTTCAAGACGGAAAATGATCATCAGAGTTGTGAACAAATGGAAAGTGACACTTCACCATCAGTTAGAATGACTCACAGACAGAGAAAGAGCAACATAAGTACACAAGGTGGACCAAAAATGAAAGCGGAAATGGCTTCTGAAGCATCAAGTAGCAGAGTAATTGGAGGTGCAGACATGGAACCGAACATCGACAGCCGATTAACTTCAGTTCAAGATGTCAATGTTGATTCCAGAAGAGTGTCTAGGCGAAGTCAAAGAAGTATAGGTCCAGATCTAATAGCAATGGAAACAAAAGAATCAGTGAAAGAGGAATGTACAGTGCCAGAAGAAAGGTATCAATTACCGGTTAGAGCAGAAACTTCAGTAAACAATTCTTCGCCGCACAATGAGAAAAGTCTTTCAGTTTCCAAGAAGGCCAGGCGTTTACAGGAAGAAGCGGATGGTATCGACAAAGAAAGAGAAAAAACTTTGGTTAATGGTAGCAATACTGAGGCCAATCAAATCAAAACTCGGAAACGAAAAATGTGCAATGAAACTACAGGCATTAAAACTAAAACAGAAAGCAAAATTAACGTGAGTTTTATTGAATCAAATACTCCGAATGCATCGAACTTGTTACAATCAAAGAATTCTTCTGAGTTTTTTCCGCGAACCAGAAATTCTTCAACGTTATCGTCGGCAAGTTCTTTGTCTTCTTTGCAAACGAGGCCAACGAGATCTCATGCAAGCATAGGGAGACCAGAGTTTGCTGAAAAATTGCAAAATAAAATGGAAGCGGCGAAGGATAATGTAGACAGAGTACAGTTGGCAACATCAGCAAAACGACAAATAAGTTTAAATATAATAAAAGATAACACAACGAATACGACCACAGTTACAAGAAACAAACTCGAAGTGACCAAAACGGCCGCTAAAGCAGCGGACAGAGAAATTAAGGCGGTGAAAAATGAAGTAAATGCGATTTGTTGTCCTCGCTCCAAGACGAATAGTGAGCGTATGCGATTAAGACCAGTGCTGAAAAGAGCGAGTATAAAAGAGGTTCTTCAAGAGAAGAACGGAACTCGCAAAACAAGAACAACAACGACAAAAGACTCAGTTAGACAAACTCGAGGAAAATAAAATATCTGAAGTTTTTTGTTGCCAATTATTTCCCAATTTCATGTCTTTGTTAAAATGTCACAATGAGTCATACCAGTGTTTGTGGTATGGTTGCTATCAAAGTCTTTGGTATTATTTTGTCTTGCTCCAGGAGTTTATTTTGGTTAGTTTTTTTAATTGTAGATTGAAGGTGTGAACTAAGAAGTTCAGCTCTTTTCCAGTCCCCCCTTGATGTTTCTGAAATTCAATCTAAGAAAGTCGTTTAAAATTTAAAACTTACTTTTCATGTTATTAACTGCATCAAAACTTGTCAGCGTTAACAGGTGGACAAATTATACAACATTGCTCACATGGAAAATGCCGTGATAACAATTTTTGAACAGCTTTGTTTTGTAATTTTATGAGGGGAGTGGAAAAATGTAAAAGAGCAAAAAAAAGGTCTACAACGGGAAGATTAAAATTTTAAGATTCGTTCAATACTTCAGGAGTAGCTCTGAAACAGAAAGAATGGTTTAAAAATAATTTATTAAGGAATGTTTTGAGTCTCTTTGGCTGAAACAAAAATATTAACTTTAAGGTATATAATGTGTTTTAACTTTTTGTTATTTGCTTTAAATGTTTTCCACGCAAAATCAGCTTTCACAAATAATCATCGGAAAGTTGAGTGTTATATAAATGAGCTCGTACAGTCGTGATTCGAACGGCATAAAAATCCAAAAACTTGTCCCAGTGTCGAGAAAACTGGTTCGAATTTTTTGGTTTGTCTTACTTCGAGCGAATAAAGCGAGAGCAGGCGTACAATTTTTTTTTGATTTTTTTTTCGTTTTTCCATTCTTTTTTCTACCAAAATTGTGTTCAGATCCTTTCATTACACCAGGCCCAAAAACTTACTTTTTAATCTGTTTATGTGCAATGTAGCTAGCTTATGGCTAGAATTGAAATGGAAAAACTTATCCAACTTACTTATTTCCCACGCTAAAAGATAACGGTTTTGAAAGTTTTAACTGCACTTATGCCTCTAGTTACTGATTTTATATTGCTGCTATCACCTTTACATAATATTCAAAATGCCAAGATTTGCTTTTAAAATAAAATTGACAAAAAAAAGAGTTTGACTTCGAGGCGCCGATCTTAAAAAAAAACGAATATTTTTTGCACGAAAAATGCTTTTTGCTAAACTTTTGATTCCTGGATAGAGTGCTTGAACTGTCCGTTTGGTCCTAGTCGCGCAACTTTTTTTCCGCTATTTTGCAATGTTCATTTCTCCTATCTTAAGTAAAGCGGAACCGCTATTATAAATTTAATTGCACATCTCACTGAGTAACTCCATCAAAAATTAAGTAACAATACAACCCACAGATATCGAATGCTTTTTTTACGAGCAAGTTTCGACCGACATAGTTGCACATAACCTGAAACTTAGTGATAGTTTCATAACCTGTAAATAGCATAACCTGTACATAAACTGAAAATTAGTGAACCTTCTTTTTTTTTCTAACCTTAGTTGCAATTATTGGTGCCTATTTTGGGGCAACTCTACAGCTTTTTGACATGTGCTTTGACATTCGCATGCTAAAAAGTTAACACAGTTGATGCATTTTTATTTCATCAAATGAACCGAAAAAAGCTATTTGTCTCAAACAACCTAATGGTAATAAAAACTCAATTCCAGAAATTTTTGAATACAATATGCCTTGCAATTTTTTGAATTGCATAATTTAATCATTATGTGGCTTTATTTTTTGCAATTTGTCACATGCAAAGGTGGTGTGGATTCCTTCAACTTTTTATCTTCCAAATCATTACTTGCAAAATTGTGTCTTTTTGTCTTTGGTGCCACTTTTGCTGAACAGATTTGGCAATCTATTAGCATATTTTGCTGTTTTATTCGTGACCAGTGTTTGTCGGTGGTTAAGCGAGCGCGGCTGAGTGGTTAGTGCTCGTGATTCAAAATCTCCTGCTTGCAGTAGGGCGCAGATCGAATCCTATACCTAGCTGAAATTTTGCTAACTCAAGGGTTAATTCTATTTGTCATACTGCAATTTCTAGAGCTGTATTTTTTCGTGTTCTCGCTAGTGTTTGTGAAGCGAAGGTTCGCCTCTATGTTTAATTTTCTTCGTGCGATTTAGGGTGATTTGATGTTGCGCTTTTTCACAACTTCAAACTCGATGCGAACAAACGTTTTTAGTGACGGCATGATAGGATCCGCATCACTTGAATTCATCCGCATTAATAGTTGCTGCTCTTCTAAGATTATTCGAAAGTAGTAAACCATATAGAGCAGCCCAGACAAGCTGCAAAAACTGAATTACGTAACAAAATAACAGTTGCGCATATCTGCGCAGTAGAAAGCAAAGATAAAGAAAATTGATTGGGTTAGCGGGTAGTTATTACTCTTGTGATAACCAAGGGTACTGCTGTACCGCGACAATTCGCAACTAAAAAAAGCTGGTAACAAAAGTGACTCGCAAATTTTAAGGAAAGCGACAACTCGCAAAGTTTGAAAATTAATTAAACTTATGCATCAAGAGCTTTCGGCTTAAGCTCTGAATTTCGTATAAAGAACCCTCTGTTGGCAACCACACAAGTTGGCGAGACTGTAGAGGTGTATATATTGCGCCTTATCTTGTAATGCGAGTTTTCTGTTATTGCGAGTTGTCTTTTCTTGCGAGTTGTCGAATTACTTGTGCAATCGGGTTGTAGATTTTTTTTTACCGTCACTAACTTTGTTCACATGTTCACCTTTTTTAGTGGATCTTCCCATGTAAACTTTCCTCAGCCAATAGACAAAATTTGAAGCTGACTGCCTTTTAACTCCTCTTCTTTATAATTTGTTATAAATTGGTAGTATCTTTACCAACTCCCATTTCCTGACATTTCAGTTTTCGTGCCTTCATTAGTTTTCATCACTTAATTGGCTTCAAAGGTTTCGGCGTAAAATATAGCCGCTTTGTTACCTCATACTGCATTCTATGAGCGGAAAGTTTTCTAAAAGATGTGTGTGTTTTGAGGATTGGTACTTGGTAGATTTTTTTTTTTCGACTTCGTTTACATTTTTTGACAGTGCTTTGATTTCATTTTTTTCCTAGTCTCTCATTTTTTGTGCCTTTAACTTGAAAATAGCGCCCTGACTTGATTTTGTGCGAAAATGTCAGGGAGCTGTGACCAAAGAATTTCATGCAAACGAACCAAAAGGTCAAACAATCCTGAATGAAGTAAATCCATTCAGCTCAAAAATTCTTTTCGAGGTTTGTTCAGTTCCAATTAAAAATAAGATCAAAGTAATTTACGAAAGGGAAAAGTGTTCGGGTAGGCTGGCATTTTTTTCCTCAAAAGCCTTCTATTAACTGTATAATTAGAGACCAGTGCACTCTGTTTTGGTAACCATTTCTACCTCCTTCGCAAATTAAAGTCAATTGAATATTCATCGCCACGCAGTATCCTTTAAAGAGGAAAAGTGCCATCTACGTTGAGTGTTGGAAAATTTAATTACGCAGATCATAATAGTTGTGCCGAGTATACGTGCAGTAGAAATCAAAAAGTTAAGAAATTGATTGATTAGGGAAGCTCTTAGTTCTTACAATTGCGATGAGTGAGGATATTGCAACCGGTTGAAAGAGTTTTTCGTGATGACGAGACTGTGGAGCTGTATATATTGCGCCTTATCTTGTAATGCGAATTTTTTGTTATTGCGAGATGTCTTTTGTTGCCAGTCGTCAAAATACTTGTGCAATCGGGTTGTAGACTTTTTTAACCGTCACTAATTTTCTAAAAGATGTGTGTGTTTTGAGGATTGTTACTTGGTAGATCTTTTTTTTTCGACTTCGTTTACATTTTTCGACAGTGCTTTTGATTTAATTTTTTTCCTAGTCTCTCATTTTTTGTGCCTTTAACTTGAAAATGGCGCCCTGACTTGCTTTTGTGCAAAAATGTCAGGGAGCTGTGACCAAAGAATTTCATGCAAACGAACCAAAAGGTCAAACAATCCTAAATGAAGTAAATCCATTCAGCTCAAAAATTCTTTTCGATGTTTGTTCAGTTCCAATTAAAAATAAGATCAAAGTTATTTACGAATGAGAAAATTATTCGGGTAGGCTGGCAGTTTTTTTCCTCAAAAGCCTTCTTTTAACTGTATAATTAGAGATCTATTAGCTATTTACCTCTTTCGCAAATTAAGGTCAACTGAATATTCATCGCCACGCAGTATCCTTTAAAGAGGAAAAGAGCAATCTACGTTAAATGTTGAAAAATTGAATTATGCAGATCATAATAGTTGTACCGAGTATACGTGCAGTAGAAATCAAAAACTTAAGAAATTGATTGATTAGGGAAGCTCTTAGTTCTTACAATTGCGATGAGTGAGGATATTGCAACCGGTTGAAAGAGTTTTTTGTGTTACTAACTTGTTTACATAAGCTCCAATTTTGTTGATCTTCGAAACTACTTTGACTTTTCGTCAACCAAGAGACATACTTTGTAGTAGTTAGAACATAGGTGAAAGATGCCGGAGGGAAAAAGAACCCGGCCTGAGGACACGAAGTGCCCGATGGCGGCTCTTTTACCCGAGGCCATCTTCAACTATCTTCTAATTGTTGAAGAGTATGTTTTTGCTCTTTCTGAGGTAAAGAGCGCAGGAAATTTTGAAAGAGCCCGGAAAATTGCGCGAAGCTATGCAAATGATTTCTTTTTTCTTTCATGCGTTCTAATATTTCATTTTTCATTTATGCCATGTCGTGAAAGAACATGAGTGAAAGAGCAAAAACATACTCTTCGAGTTTTTTTGCAATTTTAGTTCCCCTTTGATTCGAAAGTTGTCACAAGTTGGTTGTACTTTTACCAACTCCGATCTGTTGAAACTTCATTTGTTTCCTTTTCTTAATGGTTTTCTTTTTTAATGGGTTTTTTTTTAATGGGTTTCAAAAGTTCATTTATAGTATACCGCCTCAGTGGCCCTAAATTTTGTCGTATGAGCAAAAAATTGTCTAAATTAGGTTTGTATGTGCCCGGAGGGAGGGAACTTGATTTTTATTTCGAGTTTCTGTTTCTTTTATGCAACTAATTTTTGTCTGCTCAAGTTTTGTCTAGTTAATACGCTTTTCAAACTTTTGTTGCGATGTATATTTTTTATTCAATATTTGTTTTTGATATGTTTTTCTCAAAAAGAATTTTCATGACCTTCGCGCAAAGTAAATGAAAGTTATTGTAGATCTAAATTTTTGGAAACTTTTCTTGCTTTTTTATCTGCGGTTTTAGTTTCCTTCAATCCCAGTAGCTTTAAAAGCTATGTATGTATCGTATCAGAAATTCTGTGAAGCTCTGTTACTTACCCCTCGCGCGAAAATGTCAAGTTGTTGTAACCAAAGTTACTTTAATAAACTAGTACCTCAAGCAACCCTTAATTTAAATTTAAATCAGCTCAAAAACTAATTTCCTTGTTTGTTTCCTTCAAAATAAAAGTTACTTCAAGTTATCAACAATATTTTTTGAATTTTTCTGGACGAAAGAATTTAACTGCGGATTCAGGTCTGTTGAAGATTATTTTCTCAAACCCATATTTTCGTACTTACAGTTAAATTTGATTGATTTGCGATTAAGCAATCAATTTAACTGCTTCGCATCAAGTATTAGCCTTTTTCCCGTAGACATAATTTAAGTCTGACTGCATTTTAAATACCTTTTTCGAAAATTGTAATAAGCTGGTTGTATAATTACTAACTACGGTTTGGTGAAAGTTCATTTTTGTAATTGTAAAGTGGTTAAGCAGCAGGTAAATGGATTAAGCAATCACTCTACCTGCTTCGCATAGCTAACGCAAAAATTTTGCAACAAACGTATATTTCAACCTAAAAAGGAGTTACCTTTACACCTCTTTGCAACATTGTCCTTACTTGTTCACAAATCACCAATTGGGACCAGTTGAATTAAAAAAAAATTGAAATGCGTGAAATAATTTATTGTTTTCAAACCCAATTTCAAGTCAACTAAAACTTTTTTGTTATCAACAACACCTCGATGGACGCAACAAAAGGAAGCCAAATAATGCAAAAAAAAACAATCTCAGCTGTCGAAAACTGTAACGAGTTTCTGTTTGTTTCAAAAAATATCAGTCTGATTGCAAATTGTGTATTTTATGATCAACTAAAATTGATTTATCTCTTGATTCAACTGTTTCAAATGCGTTTTTGCAATTGCAAAATATATGCTTTCGAAACAAGACACTCAATTTTTGGTCATGAAAATCAAAACAGTTTTCGTGCTCAGCGAAAAAAAAACATCCACTTTAGCATGATAATGTAAAATATATAAACGGTTTTTTGCGATTGGGGTCTTCATTCATGCCATTTTCTATAGAAACTGAACCAATTAAAAGCACAAGTTCTCATGGTTTCTAGTTACTATTTAATTACGTATATTTGCTCAAAATTTATATTAACGAATATTTATTTTAACTATTTGGTTCTTCTACTTTTTGTTCCGACTTTCGAAGAAAGAGACGGATTATTTGTGCTCGGGTTGGTTTTTTCCAGACAAACTATGACTGTTTAACTAGCAATTTTTAACAGATTTTTATTGTATCATTTGAGAAGTACTGCTGTTTTGAGCCCAAATCTAAAAAGATATTTTACCTGTGATCTTTTTTTGTAAGGTTATGGGTTTTTTTGTAACCATTAACGCTCAATAAATTTCGTGCTATTAACGCGTAAGCACACATTTAATCCACAAGAGTTCGGTCCAAATTTTAGTCAGGCATGCTCTTTGGTCTATTTAATACTTTGCTATATCCAAAATATATAACTTTTTTCTTGGCATGGCGTGCGGGGGGCTGATTTTCTAAAAAAGTTTTTTCAGGTTGTTTTTGAAAATTTTATCATTTATTTTATTTTAAATTACTGCATAGAAATAAAAACGAAGAGGTAACACTCAGGGTTTCACCCTGATATAAGCAGTCTTGTCATTTTTAATTCTATTTTCCTACACAGAATCAAAAAAGATAGAATGATATGTTTGGAAAAACTCACAGCAACGCTGACCAGTTCAAACTTAATAGAGTTCTAACATTTCATGAGATGCAATCACCCAATCTTCTCTGCTTACGATCCAAAAAAAATTAATGCAATTAATGACTCATTTTTTTAATGGAACAAACTGCCTTGAAAAAGAGAAGGTCTAAACTCAATTGTTTTGAACTACCCTGCAGTAAAATTGAAAACAAGGATGCCAATCAACTTGGAGCAGAGGGAATAAACTTTTGATTGTTCTTTCAGAAAGTAGTGTTCTTTTGCGAATTTCCATTATCGAAAAAAAAAGAATTTAATATTTTAATGCATAATTACAAATTCTTGTTAATACTTTTTCAACATGAATAAAAGTTGGTTCTTGTTGGGATGGGGTGAAATGGATCTGCAATTTTCAAGGGAATAGGCGTTGTCAATGGAAAATTTAGTCGTGACAATACCCAAGTCTGAGTATTGTCCAAGTCAAGACCCAAGACTGAAAACAGATTTGTATTGCCTTTTTTTACATCAATAGAACTTAATTTAAAACACTACAAAAATTATTAAAAAGGGAGCATTTTGCTGATTGGTTTGATACCGGAACATTTTAAATATAGCTTGGTTTTTTGTTCGTTTTAATTTAAGTTTAAACAAATTAATTTTTTTCTCTGCTTAACAAAACGTTCGCCATTTAGTATCTAACCCTTTGTCTCAGCGGTCCAACTAATTTAAGACTTTAATTTGTTTTTCTTTGTGCTGCAACAACAAGTATAAGGTTTTCTATTAATTTTTCTATTGAATGTCAGCAAAATTAATTTTTCATCTTTTTTTCTTTTTCTCATTTTTCTGAAAATATACTAAATTTTTGATCAATATTTATTTATTTAATCTGAGACGGCTGAACTATCTGCCTTAAGTTAGATAAAACCTAGAAAGTCTAGAATAAAACCGAGTCAAAAAACAAAACAAACCCAACACATCTATTTTTTTTACAAATCATCAGTACTATTATCTATGAAACTTCTACGTTTTAAATTGAATGCAAGTTACAAATAGTTCACATCAAACAGCTAAAAACAAACATGGCAGATGAACATCTAATACAGAAAGATAATTTGAAGCGATAAAGTTGATTTGATTGAAAATCTGGGGTGCTGAAAAAGCCATTATCACGTGTATAAACACGCCAGAAAGCTGAGTAATTGCTAAAGCAGAAAAAAGTTTGTGTTTTCATAATTTATGGAAGAATGATAGCCAAACGTTTCCACAGTATAGAAAGTTGCTATTCATACACTTTTAATGCAACATGATAGCGATGATTCATCTGGACAGCGCTGAGAATTAGTCAAATTTTCTATAATCCAAATTGATAATGAATTTTCTCTAATATTTTTTCGAAAATGCATCAAAAATGTACCTCAAAAAACTGGGAAATGAGCTAAAATTACGGTGGCCCACTGATGATTATTCCAAATCTTCAGATCACAATCGTTTTGGCTTATTTCGAGACAAATAACTCATTAAGAATGTCATAGCCTGTATAATATTGTGTTTGGCGTAATTTGGGATATTAGGTTATTTAGATTTAGTTATTATAGAGAAAATCGGATCTCTTCAACTATATCTGCCCTCTCCAAGGAGGGAGGGGGAGCATTCGCTAAAAGGCACAATATTTTTCAGCGGTAACGTTTTAAATGATTAGGGGATTGGTTAAAGAGACCCTGAACATAATTTATTTTTAGATAACTTCTCGCTGACACGTGAACATAAGTTTGATCTTCGATCTGAAATAACTGTTCATAAACATATAAATGAGAGGATTGATTGAAAAGTTCACACAAAACACTGTTTGCACAACGACCTTGAGTTGTTTCTGTTGCTCCACCCACTCGTTTGTCTCTTCGTGAATTGTGTCAATCAAATGGAGCAAAAGATCAGGAAGTGTCAAAATAGCGAATGCACAGCCGACACAGATGAACAGAATTGACAGTTTTTTCTCGTATTCCACTCCGCTGAACCTAAATAGGTTGTATTACTTGATTAGCTGATATCGGGTAAGGGGGTGCGGTTTAGTTGACGTTGAAACGAACGGTTCCCATCTTCAAAAACTTCGGGACATCGCCTCTTCATTGGAGCTTTTGTAACAATTTTGCACAATTTTCTAATCGCGGTGATTTTAGTACCAAAAGTAGAAAAAAAAACAATTGAAAAAAAATGTACTTTTTTTTCATTTCCGTTTTTTGCTCTGTAATAATGAGTTGAACTTGAGCTTGAAATTGGATATTAATTAACAGTACAGATACGGCTAAAAGTTACCTAAAGTAAATTAGAATATTAAGGATGTGAACGATTTTTTTGCTGAAAGTAAGAAAAGAAAACGAAGTAGGAAATACTTGATCATAATTTTCTCAACAGCAAAGGCAATTTCCTTAACTAAAAGAGCTTTAAAATGATAATACATTTTTCGCCCTATGCGCGTTCGAGGTACCTGACCCTCGCGGAGGAAAAAAACCAACCCTAGGCTAAAGTTCCTTCCCAGCCGTAGTGTATACAGACAGCAATTGAGGTTGTGGAATATCTCATATCATTTCAGTCGTTATTCAAGCTTCAAAATTAAAATGCCCAAAAACTACCACGTGCCGAGAAAAATCGATTATTTTTCCTGAGCTTTTTGCTTGGGCTGATAAGTATCTAGCGAGCATGCTAATTTGACAATTGATTGCTGGATTTTGTTTTTTAATCAACAAACGAGCGGACTGTTATTTATTAAAATTTGGATCTTGCCTTGTCTTGAACAAAAAACGGCCCTTTAAGAAACACGATTGAACGAAATGTTTCACTCTGAGTTACTTGTCAAAAAAGGAACATTTTCAAACCCCCATGTGATAATTGCAGAGCAACCGACAATTCGTTAATCTGGACAAATTAATCTTGCTCGTACTTCCGAATATTTGCTTCAACTATATTTTTTTCACAGACAGTTCTGGAATAAAAAAATAACGTTTTTAGACAGGTTTTTTTATTTCCTTGAAAATGTATTTGAAATCATCTTAAACAGTTAAAACTTTGTCTTTTCTCCTAAATAGCCAAAACGAATTATTTGAATCGTATAGGAAGTTAAAGTGACATTTTCGCTTGCTTCAGATCAATTTGGAGTCATAATGAGTGCGGTACATTTGCCATGGTTAAAAGATTGATGCTTACGCTTTCATCATCATGGATGAATTTCAAAAATCGCGTATAAATTAGTCAAAAACATAGCCTAATTGGCTATTTTCGAGCCCCCTATTTTTTTTCTAAAAAAAACTGAGCTAAACTATTTTTTGCTATTTTATACTCAAGGGGTTGATATCTTCATTGGGATATAAAAATTTTTAATAAAAACTTTGTTTACATCGTGGAAACTAGTCTGTATACAAAAATACTCAAGCATATAAATTCCGTTATTTTCTAAGGTCGAAACAAGACTGCTCATATCAGGGTGAAGCCTTGAATGTTTCGACTGCCTTTTAAGGTTTATGGAGCAGTAATAACATGGAAAATTTAAATGTAATAAATTTGAATTAAAAAGTTTTTTGTAAAAAATTGATTTTTTTTTTGTGAAAACATCCCCCCACACGCCATTATTAAGTACAAAGGGATAAATTTTACTCCTATTAACAAATCAATTATGGCATATAATTTTCCCTGAACCAATTTGGAACGATTTCTATGAGGAATTAAATCTCGCTTACGCGTTAATAGCGCGAAACATATCGCGCGTTAATTGTCCCAAATTGACCGAGATGGCAATCTTTAAACCCCCATAATTTAACAAAAAATAATCACAGGTAAAATATTTTTTCAAAATTAAGCTCAAGGCAACAATACCTTTTGAACGATATAAAAAAAATCCCTCAAAAATGACTAACTAAAAAGTCAAAATTTGTCTGAAGAAAAAAACCCACCCCGATCACAAATATTCCGTTACTTTCGTTACGAAAGTCGGAACAATAATTTGAATGCAAATCATTCTGTGCGTATGAAACGCAAAATCAGTAAGTAAGTTAACATTTATTGTCGAGATGTTTTTTATTCAAGCCAAATTTGAGTGTTGAATTATCGGCTTTTGACAAAAATTGCTTATAATTTGAGATATCGATGTCTTGAGCCAAAAACTTAAAATTAAACCCAGAAGAGTTTTTTGTTAAGTGATAGGGATTTGAACATTACCAATTCGGCTAATTTGAAATAATTGTTGCGCGCTATTCACTTTCTGTTAAAATTTATCAAAGTAATCAAAACATTGCGGCTGGGAAATCATTTCAAATTGAATTGGGACCCAAAGGAGGGGATGGGAGCAAAAAGGGGACTTGCAGACAAAAAAGGGTATTGTATAATTTTAAAATGGGACAACCGTAACTTTTTTCAAACTAGGAGATACAATAAGCGTGGGGTTTTGCCACCAGCACAGAGCCAACTTTCTTTCCTAATCGATTGGAAGCACACATGAAAGTTTGAATTCGTTTGGCTGATCAATATTAGGAAAACGCTTTGATGTATTCAGACAAAAAAGTCTGAGTTTACTAGAAATGTTTATCATACAACTTTTATGCAATCCCATATGTCACAAAAAATCAAAAAAGTTCTATGACTATCACTTGCACTTTTTCTTATTTGCAAATTGTGTACGACCATAAACGCCTTTTTGTTTGGCGTTTTTTCCATAAACCAAAAAAAAGACCCTGGTTACCCAAAAGGGAGGTGGATTATCAAAAAACTTTCGAAAACTTGTTGACCTTTTTTTGTTCGATTAAATTGACTTTCCGAGCTCTCCCAAAGCACTAAACAGACTGTGTTTTGGCCAAATTTTTTGCGCCGGAGGCAAAATTTTCAAAAAACAGGCCAAAAAACGACGTTCTTCGGCACTTTTCGGAAAATGTTGACCAAAAAATTGCGTTTTTTGGCGCGCGCTCCGTCCTCAAGTTTACTATATATTGGCGCCGAAGCCGCGTTAAGAGAGTTTTTAGGGTCCGTTGCCAAAAAATGATATCTCAAAATAGTGCAAAGGGGGACACTTTGGGTCGGCAGGGGTTCGAATCCTTGAGGAGACAAAAAAGCGTCCTCATACCCCGCCCTCACCCCTAAACCCGCCCCTATATTGGACACTTTGAGTTAAAAATTGATAGCCCAATGCATACAAAAATGCACTACAAAAAATATGTGAGTATGTAAATTGTGTGTTTGAGTCTGGTGCATGAAAAAGATTAAATAAAAGTTTCTTGAGGAATTTTTTTATTGAAAAAAAAACAAGAGGAAATTGTATGATATGCTTTTTTGCCAATAGTTCTTTGATTTTACTTTACGTCGATACGTCGAAGTTTATTATGCCAATACTAAAAAAGAATCATTCAAAATTAATTACACAATTTTAGCAAAAAGTAAAAAGTTTGTGCGATTAGCAATTTTTCAATTTTGGTCTTTGGAGGTCAGCTGGGCTGTTTAACAATTAAACACCTCCCACAAATTTTTTTTTAAATGGAGCTGTTTCCTGAAATATTTTCTGGGAAGACTAATTAAATGCTTCAAATTAAATGCTTCAAATTGTTGTTAATTTGCTCAAAAAATTTGCTGAATTTTTTGCAAAAAGTTTCTGCTTTCTGGTTTGCAAGTATTTCAGATCGACTGTTTACCTCTTTTACGTAATATTTTTTAGCATATAGAATTCATTTAACAATTTCTGTATTATAGATGCACTCATTTGACTTGTTGCGTCCCGAATTATAGCAGATTAGATTTGTTGGAAAATGAAAACTAGGCAAACCTCAAATAAAAATGCAGAATTTCAAGGAAATTTCAACTAAACTTAGGATTTTATATTTAAAAAAACTAACAATTTTGCGTTCATATCCATTGTTTGTGATACCGTTGCTTGCTATTTTAAAAATTTTTCAAAAAAAAAAACATAAAAAAAAAATAAGTTTTGCTCAAAATAAAATGACAAAAAAACTTTCTAAAAAAAAATTTCGTAAAAGCCAACTAAAACATTATGACATGTGGCGTTATGATAACCATTTCTCCAAAATTGGTCCGAAATAAAAGTGTGATTACAAAATGCTAAGTTATAATGGAAAAATTTCAGGGTTTATACTTATTCAACTCAAACTGGCTCTTTTCTCTTTTTTGATGTGCTCTCTTTTTGGGCCAGGGGCGGATTTAGGGGGGGGGGGGGGGACGGACACCCTCTCCTCAGGGATTCGACCCCCTGCCAACCCAAAAGGTCCCCCTTTGGTACTTTTTAAGAAATCAGTTTTTGCCGACCAACCCTAAACTTTTTCTAAAGGCGCCTTTGGCGCCAACATTATACTCACTTTGAGGGGGAGCTCGCGCCAAAAAAAACGCAATTTTTTTTTGTCAAAATTTTCCACAAAGGGCCCAAAAACTGCTTTTTTGACCTGTTTTATCAATAAACTTGCCTGCGGCGCAGAAAATTCGGCCAAAACAGGGTTTTTTTTACTGCTCTGGGAGAGCTCAGAAAATCACTTTAGTCTACCTAAAAAAAGGTCGACCGAATTTCAAAAGTTTTTCAAAAATCTGCCCCCCCTCGAGAAAATCCTAGATCCGCCCCTGTTTTGGGCCATAAGCGTTTTTAATTGTCACTCAGTTTGTGTTTTTTATTCTTTTATTCAATTCTCGAGATATCAATCCTGAATTTTTAAGCATGATAATTCCAATTTTGTATTAAAAAAGTTTCATTTTCAATTTTTTTAGTTTAGGGGGATGCAACCGAAAATATCTAAATTCCATGAAGCAGATAATTAAAGCAATGGGATTGATGTGTTGCACTCTTGCCAATTCTGGGCTCTTTTTCCTTTTCCCCCCACCTGCAATTTTTTATAATTAAAATTACTGTTCACATTGGCCGATTGTCATAAAAAATCTATGACTAAAAAAGACTATGACAAACATATTTGGTCTTCATAATAAAACTTGTAAAACCTTTCATTAGACCATAAAATTGATGCTTGTGTGAGGTGGG